TAGGCAGGAATTAGAAGTATATGTTAAGAATTTCTTAAGTTAGGGTTATAGAGGTAGGAATACAAATGTAAAGCGCTAATTAATAAGAATAGTAAGATAGGTAAATAGGATAGGTTTAAAAATAAGTGAAAATGCATCTGCACTGATTTATATAAATCACTGCATATGCATATAGATGTAAGATTTAAGTATATTTATGTACATGTAAGGTTAAATTACATTTATTGTGTAAAACATGTAAAAGAATGAAATAGTAGAAAGGATACGAACTGTATAAAAAAATCATGACATATTAAATACAATTTACTTCACAGAATTACTCTGTGCAATGAAGAGGATGATATACAATAAATGTAATTTTACCACAATCATTGATGTAAGTAAATGTTTTGCATTGAATTATGTATCTATTATGTATTGTATTATATTGTAATACCGTATAAAAAAAGAAAGAAAATTGTAAAATGAAAATTGAAAAATTTGTAACATCCACGACATATGAATATTAATAAAACAATAGAAAATGAAATTGCAACACTTCTTGAAATTGCAACTTTTCACACATTATATACTTGTGCACCGTTATTTAAAATAACTTTAATAATTTAAAATAAATAACTTAATGTATATATATATTTTTTTATATATTTTGTAATGTATCTATATGTATATATAGTGTTAAAAATTAAAAAAATAAAAAAATTAGATTTATAAAGTGGCAGCAAGTGATGTAAAAGGAGATGATACCTGATTTCTCACTCCATGAATTCTGATGCTGCTCGCTGAATTCTTATCTTCTTGACAATCACATATATGTTGTGTGCAAAGTTGCAGATTTTTATTTTATCCTCTATTCTTCTTTCAAATCGGCCAGTTTACTTTTCTCGAGACAAACTAAATCGACGTCCGCGGCATATTCGTCTGCTCGGTATTCATCTGTAGAAGTGCGAAATATATAGTAATTTTTTAATATCTAATGACAATAGCAAAATATACGATGATCTAAGGCAATAGTACTTACTTGATTACACTTCATTCTGTTCCGTAAAGTCTTATTCTTTTACAGTCGCGTCACAATCAATCGTATAGTTGCGGCAACACGCGAAATTTCGTTCCGAGTTCCGCGAAAAGCGCGAATCGCACTGTAAAGCTTGCCGATATCAGCGAGTGCGCGATGATAATTTTGTATCAATAGGAACATCCTATTTGTTCGCACAACATATTTGCGCGCGAGACATAATAATAATCACGAAAAATACGAACCAATTCGAAAGAAGTTCTTCCCGCGTCGGTCGATTTTTTCGCGCGCGTTTATAGATGCGTGAACAATCGGCCGCGAGACAACTTTACTCGTTGATTACGACGATTACGAGTGAATACGCGCGATACTAATTATGCGTCACTACGAACACCCGACGCGCTTTACGACACGCATATGCAATCGATATTCGCGCGCGAAACAACAGTAATCGCGAGAGAAACGTGTAACGTAGTTTTCCGCTCCTCGTCGCGCGTCCGCCATGATTGCCCGCTTTTTCAAGTGTATCGAAGCGCGCGATATTTCGATAATCGAAACATCGATAGAATCGACGCGCGCGGGCAAAGCGCGCGCACACGGAACAGAACCAAATCAATCGGTAAGATATCAGTTTTATTCATGTAGTTCACAAAACATAGATGTCGCGGCGTTCGAAGAACGAAGAACTTGTAACATTGTTCAGAGTCGGGTTTCTCATCATCAAGTTCCTTTTGAACGTAGCTTACTATTTGACAGAATATCGGTTTGTGATTGGCTCGTTTCCTCAATGCTGTTTTCTTGAGTTTTCTTTGCGCTTTGAAGATTTATCGTGCGTTCTCGGCTTTACATCATGGACATATGTATACGTGTCACACGCGTGTCACCGGTGTTTGACAACGTTTACAGAAGATTTTGTTGAGAAATTCTCACATTCTTGTGGTGCTTCGAACGAACGTTGTCAAAAATGACTGCGTTGACAGTATTGCATAAATTCTGGTTGGAGTACGGAAAAACCACGCCGAAGAAACTTAAAATTATCGACGCGTACTTGTTGTACGTGTTCCTGACGGGGGTTATTCAATTCGTATATTGTTGTCTCGTGGGCACGTTTCCTTTCAACAGTTTCCTGAGCGGTTTCATATCCTGCGTGTCCTGCTTTATTCTAGGAGGTAATTACAGTGTATTACACACTTGCTGCATTGCCTTATTATAACTCGCATAAATTGAGCTTTTTTTTAACAATTGTACTTACAATTGCTAGAAACGTCATATAGAATTTTGGATAATTTTGCACATTTATGCTTCGATATTTCGGAGTCAGTAGCTCACTGCGTATTTTGTTCCAGTTTGTCTTCGATTGCAAGTCAATCCACAAAACAGAAGTCAGTTCCACGGCATAAGTCCGGAAAGAGGATTTGCAGACTTCATTTTTGCACATGTTATTCTACATATTGTTATAATGAATTTCATTGGTTGAAGAATATGTGATATAAAAAAAAAAAACAGATCATATAAATATTACACTTTACACATTAGAGAATAAATTATTTCTGATACATAAATGCTCTGTGCTTTTGTACTCATATGGCTCACATATATACAAATTACAATTTAATCAATGAATAAAATTAATGAACACAGATGTGATTCTCTCTCCATGATTTTATTCTAATTTCAAACTTCTCACTTGTAATACATATGGGTTTGATATTTTAGATTTCTTGTTTATTATTAAAGAGCACAGATGATTTCTAATAATATAGAATTTAAATAAATAATGTAACTATGTATGTATATATACAATAAATTTATAAGATATTTTATTTGTCTTCTTGAATACAATGCCAAGTAGGGGAATAGATATTACATTGATATATAATAGGAAATTTATAGGACACACTCTTATATCTTATATTTACAAAGGTCCTAAGAAAAAATGTACTATATTATAAAGATGTAACTTGTGTGAGAGATTTGGAGGAAAACATTTTCTTAAACTGTTTTTAAATATATTCTAAACCAGAAATATATGTTACCATATCTATCAGGAATAATATATATTTTAAAGCTCATTTATGAAAATACCCATTTTTCATACAGAGTGTTTGTTTATACACAGAAGCAATTCATGAGAATAAACTTTTTTGTTTCAACAATGTGCTGTATTTGTTTGTCAAGCACAATAATTAAATTCTGAAATCTACCATTTATTAACGTAGTTGTGAGAAAAAGTTTTTAATAATAAAAAAGATGACGAATATGTGAAAGTTTAATGTGTGGAGGCCTCTGTCGTATTTGTGGAAATTTATTTCAAATAAAAATTGCAATAAAATTTGTTACTCATTTTCTTCTATTTATACGTAACTTAGAGATCAATCAAAATAAATATCTGTTGATTACTTATACAATTTTAGTACAACAATAGATGTTGACGGCATTTAATAAAATAAGTTCTCTCATTGCTTATTAGAAGTACATCTGTGTTTATATGTACATAGGTAAATGTGTTAAATTCTATCACATAAACAAGCTAAGAGTGTGAAGCTGTATATAAATATTGATACCAACAGAATTATATATAAGTTAATGCGTTATATTACAGTATGAAAAAAAATAAATACTAAATCATGAAATATAAAAATATTTCATTAGAATGGCTCTTACTTTCGACTTTCGAATTTTTTTTGCGGCACCCTCACAACAAATTATTTAAATGCATAATGAATTGTATTTAAATATCGATCGTCTCCCAATTTATTGATTATATCGAGAAATACGTTAAACAAAAGGTCAGAAGTACATTTTATCATCTATTACTTTTTTTCGTACGATTTTCGAAAAAATTCAATCAAAGACTTCTTTTCCCCTTATTCGACCCTTTTCCCCTTATTTGAACTTTCTCACAGATCATTTTTTTTTTTTTAGTAATTGGAACCATTCTCAAGAGTGTCACAAAAAAAACTTCAAAAAAATGTTCACCGTGAGTAAATAAAAGCCACCCTAATATTTCACACATTAAACTTGCTCTAGGAAAACTGACAGATAAGTAATATATGCAGTACCTCAAAATTTGCGACTAAACTACTTACAATAAAAGAAATATTTCGGACGAACTAATTAAAAATTTCTTTGTCATGTTTTATTTCAAAGCGCAATGTTTGAAATATAATCGAGAACTGATCACAAATTATAGTCAAACAATCGCTTATTCGTCAATTGCACTTACAATTGTTTGCGAATTATAATAAGAACTTTTATCATCTAGAATTTAGTTTGTCAAAAACTTGTCTATTTGCAAATTTTGAGATACTTTATATAAATAAGTTTATATAATAATTAAGAATATAACTATATATATCCAAATGTAATTAGATTATTAGAATTTTATCGTCAGAATTCGGAAACTTGTAAACAATAAGTTTTCCTAATTAATCCTCTTCACAATATTGGCAAGTGATAGAAACTAGAAAGCTTTAGTTACTAAAATCAATTACAATAACGCTAGATATATTTTATAACGTTTTAAAAATTATATTTTATATTTTGTGTCAACAAAATAGGCAATTAAATGGTTATAAGTTTATTTTCTATACACTTCAAATATGTCGTAAAATAAACTTGTTAAATATCACATTTTGTGAATAAACAAATTCTCGATAAATGTCAAACAAATTTCCGAATTCCGTTTATTACGTATGAAACTAAGTTTTATACAAGATTTACACTGTTACTATATAATTTTTGCATTTGTGCGAAACAACTTCGCTTATTTTATACAATATATAGTTAACCTAAAGTTCAAGAACTAGTGTGAGAAACTTTAACTCAGAGTAAATATACATTTAAAACACAAAGAAATAAGTATATTTTTCTCGAAATATTTGACAGATTAAGGGAAATGTTTTATCTCTTATTTGTTCGTAGTGTATAAGCATGTCTCTGATAAACATAAAATGTGATATTTCAGAACCAAGAATCTTTTATATATTATATCATTAAACATTCCACATTGGTTATTAAACAGCTATTAAAGCTCTGAGGAGCATAACTGAATCCACGCTTGTGAATTGGCACGTGTCACTTTTAATTAATTTATGGCACTAAAGATACGTAGAACAAAAAATGATCTTGGTATAATTAGTCAAAAAAAAAAAAAAATACTTTCATTTATTCGCAGATTGTAAATATTTAATGAAAACAAAGTCTTTTAAATTTAGATCAACTTAAAGAAAAATAATTTATTCCGTATTTTGTAAAATAATCGTTTTACAGGTTACAAAGATATGGTACAAAACAATAAAATGCTCTAAAATAAATAATTTACTTGTTAGAGAGTGGACGACAATTTATACAGACTTTGTTCAAAAGACCGATGACTGTATCTTCGAACCATTTTTCAAGTACACATTTCGCGCATCATCACATAGACATTCGATAAATTTGATCGATAAATTTTATCAATGTGTCGATAAGAGCCAACGCAGCAGATGTTGGCGTAAACAAAAAATATACGGACTTATTTAATATTAGGTGGGATGTTTTCAATTTGTCACACATTTTGATGAATAATGTCAAAACATATGCGTTTTATATATATAAATCGATATATTTTTACGCGTCAACTTTTGCTCTTCTCGGCTCTTCTCGGCTCTCCTTTTCTTGTTATCTCATTTTGTATTTTAAAGCCTTGACTCATTTCAATGTTATTTCATTAGAGTGTGTTATATATATCTATTTAAGTAAGATTTTAGGTAAAGATTATGACTTCGTTTTCTTTTGTAATTCAGTCGGCTCATTTGTTACTCTTCTACTCTTGGCATCGAATAGCTAACTCAAATGTTAATAATCATTTATGAGTATATCATTCACAACCTCTCGATATTCTTAGCAAAATTACTATCGTCTCTTGACTGTAACTTCAATAAATTACCAATTTTTCTGGAGTATTTAAGATCGCTATTAAATACACAAAGAGATCGATATACTCTTGCTGTATTTAATGATCAGTCATCAGCAAGGAGAGTAAGTTGTCCACAATCTTGTCTCAAACACAAAAAACAAAAAGAAAAACAACAAAACCAACGTCTCTTTCGCGTTAGCTGTGAGGCTCTCTGATCTAAATTTGAAATCATATTAATACGTCTCTTACGTCTGCTTACATCTAGGACGTAGTATTTTCAGTATTAGTTAGCTGTGAATTTGAATCGTTCTCAGATTTCCAATGCTTTTCCAAATATTTTCTGCGCGCTGTTAATCGCAGATGTTCCTTCCGTCGCTGAAGTATAAGCTCTCTCTCGGCGGATGATTTTGAGAAACGTCCACTGAAACTTGAAGGTTCTTCTCCGCTAAAAACACATAATAAGAGAAAAACAAACTTAAACCAAAATTTATTATTACAAAAAATATATAATGAAAACTATTAATATGATAACAATATATAAATTTATTTATACACACATATATTTCGTGTACTTAATATCTAAATATTTTATATGTTTATTACCTGTCGGCTGGAATATCAAGTATAGGATCTGAATTTTGAACTGAGGAGCTGGGCATATTATTCGCCACATTAGTTTGCGTTTGGACGGATTCTGCTTGTAGCTCTTCGACTAAGCGATGTGGTATTGTTAATACCCCATCGAGTATATTCTCAATTGTCCATTCAACTGATCGGGTTGTTCTAAGATCTTCTAAGATTATATTGCGAGGATAATGAGGAAAAAGTTGTTGAACCTAAGAAAGTTTTATCATGTTATCTTTTTTGTTTTGTTTATACTGTACTAACACGTGTTTTTTTTTATGTTAGAAATTAAAACTTATTGTATAAAACCTCTTAAACTACTTAAAATTTGATAAAATCAGTAAAAACAACTTTATAATACAGTATACCTGTCTTGCCATAGCATTCATCTGAGAATTGGTGTGTGCCAAGGTAGTAATGTTACCATGTAGGCCTCGAGCGTTACTCGAGACTTCGACAGAAAAACTGGGTAACCAAGACACGTATCTCGATCCGTCGAGAAATAGGAAGAAATGACCGTTGCTTCGAGTAGGAGTTTGTTGTTCGGGTGGTATCTCCGGTGCGTTCTCTCTGTGACTCGCTTGCATGCTTAAAGTCAATCGGCAAGTAGGACATGATGTGTCCTGTTCCAACCAGGATTGCAAGCACGAATTGTGAAAGAAGTGTTCACACGGTAATTTACGAGCGGTTTCCATTTTCTCCCAACATATCGCACAGTTATCAGAGTTTTCGGCTAACTCCTCTCCTGACGCCATTGGATAACTACAAAAAAAAAAAAAAAGATAAAAAAGATTAATTATGAAAGCTTTCTTCGATAATACGAATTCTTTATGCGACAAAATGTGTGTTACGTACTTTTGCTCCATATGATTCAGTACAGCTAAATAGTTCCTGTGCTTTGTAATTTTCCGTTGTATCTCGTAGAACAGATATCTTAATTGCATAAAAATCACTAGTGCCGCCATGCTCAGATAGACGTTGCTCCATAGAAGCATGTGAACGTGATGAAAAAAGTCAACTACCAGCACACTCACTTCTGAAATCAAATCCGCGTAATAAACCATAGCACCGCGTTTGTCCCAAGAGCGTCGCGTCGAAGTTCCGGCGCCACGTGTGTCATACAGATGAATCAAATAGCGTATCATTACGTGGCCAGTGCGGACTGCGAGTAAAATACACTGCGAACAAAATAAATATACTATTTAATTTAAAAAAAAAAAAAACCGTAATATGTTACATAAATAAATTAAAATAGACCTTCCACCTTTGGATTATAGTTTCAAGGTAGTTAAGTAGATGCAGTCTACTTAACTACCTCGAACTGTAGTCCAAAGACTGAAAGGTCTATTTTAATTGAATTATATTATAATATTAAATTATTACTAAAATAAACGTAAATCATTATAAAGTTAATATCTGACTTACGTATTCTCTTATTTCTCACTTACCTCAGCTATCATAAAGGCAAAAGTATGGAAAGATATGAAGAAGCAAACTCCAACAATACACAATAAAATCATGAAAACGGAGAGCAAAAGAATTGTCATCAATAGTGCGAAAAGTCGTGCATGGCTCCATCCTGGTATAGTAGGTGAAAAGGAAAGCTAGAAAATAAAAATATTTAAATGTCATAGACATTACTTCAAGCGTATATAGTATTTCTACGTAGTATTTCAAGTTTTTTGTTCTCATTTCAGCCGATGTTAGAAGCGTGGAATCATTTAAACTTTTTTTTTAAGTCGACAACTCAATTAAGTTAATTGAAGACAAGATCATTAACATGATTAAGTATTTGTAAACTTATTGACTTTTAAATTTATTTTAAAAAGACATATTTTAAAAATAATACATTTTTATATTCAAATTACGCAATGTATAAACTGTACAAAAAATACATTATTTAAAGATAAAACGGCTAAGATCTTTAAATTATAGAGCTGTTTTTTGTTTCTATACTTACATATTCAAATCTATCTTTGCATAATTGGCTAAGAAGGCTCAGAAAGCCAAGTAGTGTAAACCATGCCAACCAGAGTACAACTTCGTCCATGTATTGCACATTCAACACGCCGAAGACAAAAATGAATTTGTAAAAGATAAAATTCCAGAACTTGTCTTTCAAATGCTGTCGCTCTAAAGCACGTAGTTCACCAAACACAAGTTTTTGGATAAATTTTGCAAGATGAATCAGCACACAATAAACCATGTTGACCAAAGTCTGAAAATCATGTTATCTCATGTTAAATAAACGATAGTAATATTGGAAACAAAATAATTTCTAAACGTTTTAGAAAACTATTTTATCAAAAGATGTAAATAAATGCAAGTAAATGTTGTTTCAAGTTATGCTTATCACAAAACTTAACTATTTAACATTTTCTTAACTTATTTGTTTATATTTTAGCATAATATTTAGAGTTCTCTTTAGCATAAAATCGAAAAAAATATATTATAACAGTTTAAAAAGTTTTAAGCTTAGTTTTTACATGTTTTAGTAAAGCTAAAATAAAAATCTCTAAACGTATATCTTTATCATATGCAGATAACAGTCAAAACGAAAGCTTACTCTTCACTCATTGCCAAATCGTGAGAAAGGCCATTTATTTTTAGGACTCAATATTTTCTATTTCAATGTCTCGCCAGAATTTCGAAACACGTGGAAATATTACAATTATCCCAAAGTGTAAATAACCAAGATATTTTGTTTTTCATTTTGCGTAGAAAATCGTGAAAAAATTAACTAATTTATATTTTTAGAACACCATTATATATTTTAAGTTTAATTACTTATGTAATATTTTAATCTAAATGTGTATATATAAATGTATATAACAAACGCATATACAGAGAGACGTGTATATGTACATTTTTTTCATAATATTACTTTAAGCAATTTTTTAAATCACACATATTTTACTAACATATTCAAAAATATTAATAGGAAGTATTTAAAATTAAAAAAACTTTAAGCAGTATTTTTTCTCTCGCGTTACATGCAACGCAAATTATGCAAATGTTTTTGAACTACGTGTTTTTAAACTATGTGTTCTTTTGAAATGAATAATAGCCAAGTCATAGCTACGCCACAGTTGCGTAGTCGCGCACAGTAAAAGCCACGTCTACACATAAGTCGTGGGTCGCGGGTCGCGAGACTCGCAGAAAATTGTCCAATTGCATTGTTCGATCGATGCAAATCATCAATTTCGCGAGACGTGCAATCGTACGAGTTCGTGTAAACAATAAAGTCTTAACAGAACACGTAAATTGGAAAACGTAATTATAGAAAAGTAAATTAACAAAGTTTGAATCTCATCCCGTATGGGAAGAAAGTAGCGCGTTATCGTCGCAATAGCCGAAGCGAATATCGATTTTATGTAGACCAAGATCGGAAAATTTATATCACATCGTTACATAAAGTTCTTAGACAATTCTGTTGCGTGAATTTTTTCCCGAGTCATCGCTCGTTATTGTTGTATTTGCTGATGCATCTTCTGGCGAAAATAAGACACGAGAATGTCGATGAGAGATTTTATATTCAAGATGAGCAAAAACCTACGATCAGTTCGCTATAATCTATAAATATTTTTTTGTCCTGATGACGTAAGTGTTCATTAACATTAAAAAGTCATACCCAGATGCAAACAGGTTCGGTTGCCATACATTCGAGAAGTTCTTTAAGAAATGTGCCGTAACTTCTGGGATCAGTCGTATAGGCTCCGTCGTAAGGTATAACGTCGGTCACACCGTCGATTACGGGGCCTATATCGACGTGCGTGTTATTCGCTTTCCAAGCCGGATCCTTGATTATCTGAGACGCATAATATATGGAACAGGACAGTACGGCGAAACTTATGGCGGTGTACAACCGAAGAGTCGGAACGGGTAATCCTTCTAAGAGTACCATCGGCATGGTTGGAAGAATTGTAGAAATCCGGTTGTCGCGAAAACGGTTATTAAATCTGCAATTAAATCAGACAAAATCACACATAGATATTTTATTATTCAGTTGCTCAATTACTTTAAAAAAAAAAAAAAAAAAAAAAAAAAAAAAAAAAACAAATTAGATGTAGACAGTAGGTGAACGTTGTGCTGAAATTGATATGTAGCAATAATAATAATATATTCAGTCAGCACACGCCTTAAAGCACACCTATGGCAACTACATAGTTTCTGCAATGTCGAATGCGACAAATCCACGTGATTGCTTCGGCTTTGCACATTGCCACGTATGTATATACGTGTTATATATCGCACGTACAATCGCGTTACGCCGTTATAACGGCAATTCGATATTTGTATAAAATGTCCAATATAAAACTCTGCTTCGATTAAATTAATTTTTTTGGGCGAAACAAAGAAGAGATGCAAGATATATACGTTTTAAAAATTATTTACAAAAAACACAATATCATTTATTTTTTTTACAAAACACGGATATTTAGAAAACAATTTATTTTCTCGTTTGAATACAGACGACGCAAACATATGTGTGTTTGTATCTTTTTTTTTTTGTTTTAAATAATACACCTGCTGTTGAATCACCAATTTACTTCCTTATCTCTTTTGTGGTTAATCTTACGACACATTGCTAACTACAAATTTATTTTTACTTATTTACATGACATTATCCGTTTCATTATGCAACAGATATCGAATGACATTGAGTTTTGTCGAATGACATTATTATTATTATTATTTTCTTTGACACGCATTGGCAATTAAAGTTTGTCGCAACATTTCAGCAATTAAATTATTCTTAAAAAATTCTCTCGCTTTTTCTTTTTCTCTTGCAAATACACACCGTCATTGGTATTCGAAAGTATAAATTGGTCAATTCCGTCGTACGTCCACGAACTCCTTTCTTTTTTATCTGGGACTATTAAATCAGCATACAATTCAACTGCATGTACCTCGTCTAATTTTCATTACAGACCTCGCGATAATTAATCGGATATTTATCGGATGTTTATTATCTGTAAAATAAATAACTGATTTTTTACATAAAGTTTACTCATTTATTTACTACTTTTAAATACACGTCAGTGGCGCCGTGTGTAAACACTAGTTCACGCGAATTGCACATGAAAAAAAACGTTACAATTTTCAACTTTTGATGTTTAATTAGAACAAAGATATATCACGGAATTCCTTAGACTTTTTATTCGCAATTCAGCACGTCAGTTGTTACACTTCTGATAACTGATTGTGTTTTGTAAATAAACATGTATTTCAATCAGGATGTATCATCAAGGTCACTTAAATAATGAGATAAAAAATAATTTACTCTGTTCTGGATACTCTAAGTGTACTCTAACGTGAATAAAATAAGTCATTAATGTCACTGTGATATCGAATGTTGTGCGCAAAAAAAAAAATAAATGTCAACAGGAAACATTTCTAAACTTTACACAAATTTTATTATATGAATAATATTTATTTGCTAAAGAACCAGTTTTTCTATACGATCATTAGCACAATTGCTGATTTATATTATTCGAGGAAATATAAATTTTATAGTAAGTTATAAAAAAACCAAATGTGTGTGCAAAACTTGATTGAGCAATATAGCGATACTCCATGCGAATAATATTCCAAGATACAGAACACTAAAAAAAAAAACTAGTAGTATTTATGAGGAACCAGACACTATATAAATAGAAAATTTATACAAGAATGTTGCAGAAACGCTTCGACCACTGACCTTATCAATGTTGTAGAAAGAAAGACAGAGTCAACAAAAATCTTTAGAGACAGAAGTTACAAAACAAGATGAAACCGGACAAGAAACAAAATAAAATTATCTTCTTTGCGATAGTGCGAACATATTTAGGAAGAGAGTTTCTTTAGACATGCCGCACACACAACCAACCGTCAATGCTGGCAACGGTTGTGTTCGCTTATTACTTGTCGCTGTTGCTCGTTGCACCCTCGTGCGTGTACTTGTATCTACATCGATCACATACGAATTTGAAAATCCGAAGACACCGGCTGGTGCGACGAGGTATATACGTGCGTAACGTAAAAAGAGAACCAAAGAACACCAGAGCAAGATTGCAACGACACGGGAAAAGTGTGTTTCGGAGTTTCTCTCTCGACGAAACTGAAGAAGAACGCGTCTGGAAGGAAAGGAAGGAGACAATCACTCTCAGAGGGATAGATGAACACAGGAATAAGAAAAATAGGGAAAGAAACAGAAACCAACCTAGCGGCGCTTTTAATCTTCCTTCGCACGGTCTCTCTTCCGCGAGGTTGTCGTCGGCGTCTTTCGTTTCCCAGGCACGTGTTCTTATCCGCACAAGTATGAAACGTCTATCTTCGGATCTGATTCTCTCGCCCCTTATGCGCGTCACCGCTATCGCGAATCCGTCGGACGACGTCTACATCGTAAACGTGTCACGAAATTTCGATGGAAGACCTCCAAGCCTGACGCAACACGGACGACGCGCCGCATCGATCAGCACGGCGTACGGCGCACGAGGATACTCACGTTGTCGCAAAAACACCCGAGACGAAAATCGCCGAACCCGCGGCAATACAGCATATCACACGATCTTGGGAAAAAAAAAAAAACTGCGACCGCACCTGACCGTATCTAGACTAGACGCACGACACGTCCGATCCGCCGATCGCGGCAGTTCCACCAAGATACACCTTTCTGTGTGTTTTATCGCGAATGCGGCTTGACAGACGTTCGTGGCGCCCTCGTATAATGCCGTGTGATGTACGTAGTAATGTACATGTATATAAATGCCATAGATTCTCCATTGTGTAGAGATAGAGAGCTCAAGTCGCATATCTGCGGCATTTAATTTCAAATTCGTAACGCGTACCGTTAAGAACGGAAGCAAATTATCGGTGCGCGACAAACGGAATACATATGTGTATATTATGTAATTGCAATTGCGAAAGATCGTTTTCTATCATCGTCTGCTAATACGTCGCCGCGTATTATCGAATTACGATTTTGATCAACAGCGTCAGGAAAATATCGCACATTACGTGCTATGCGTGATATGAAAATATTTCAACTGCGATTAAGAACGCGGTGAGTATTGCACAAGGATTTAAAGGAAAAAAATTTATTTTGCGATATTGATCAATATTTACAAAAGTAATGATTTGTCTCTCTGTGTGTCTCAAACTTTTCGTTGGCATACGTGGCGCCACGTAACGTGGTAAAATATTATTATTCACGCACGTAGATCACGTAGACTCCAATATTGCCGACTGCACGTACACGTAATTTGCACACACACGCGCGAAATACAATTGAATTAAAATAAATATTAAAAGGAACCGCGGATCAAAAGAATATAATTAAAAAAAATATAATATGGCTTTTTTTCACTACGCATGTCTGTTTCAGTAATATACACATATAAGTCGACAATGTTTTTACAAGGAAGAAAATCAGTTAAAAAAAAAAAAAGGCTCACCGATGTGAAAAATTTAAATAACTTTGAAAATTTTTGTTTTAACACGTGTACACAAACATATGTAATAACATTGATACGGCGCGAAGTACATTAGTATGCTAAGTGTTTCTAATAAGACAAATTAATTTAATAATCATTAAATCCGCGATAACGTCGCTTTTTATCACCACATGTTTATTCTGCATGACTGGTGATAATGAGGCACAGATAGATTTCAAGATATCCGATTGCCAGACCTCTCTTAGATCGATTACGATATACGTATACGTGTGTGTACGTGTGTGTATGTATATATTACAACCTGCATTCAATCGTTCATTCAGCCCGCGCGTCGCATAATGCGGGAATCGCATAAATAGTCGCAGTTTCGTGAATGAAAGCATCCATGCGACGACGCGACGTCACGATTATCACCTATATCTAAACTTGTTACGTTGTCTAACATCTTCTAGCTAAGATTCCAACGGCTCGTAACAATGCGATGCCGCGTCGACGGAATGCGCGTAGTTACGAAGTCAGAGATTAAACGTATCAGTAAATTTCTGCGTACGAATGATTAAACGAAAAGTTATTATAAATTTGATTAAATATTAAAAATTTATCCGCCGAAAGATAAGTTAATAGAAAATATATTTCAATTTTTTTTTTTATTTGGTCATTAATAATTTTTTCCTAAAATATGTAAACTGTATACAATTGCATTTGTTTCTTTGTATTTGTTTGAGCAAGATTTTTTTTTATTCACATCAATAAGATGCAATAGCGCTCTTGTTACACTAATAATTCTACACAACATTAGTATCGCATTATACAATAAAGACGTATTGTACGATTGTATCGTACAATAAAAATGTCACAGAGCGCCGCGAAAGCATCAAATGTCATAATAGATGATATCACGTATCGCAGGACTGGATAATACGCGGAACACGATCCAGGTGCATGACTCTCTACAATTTTGCAAGAGCAATAATCGGTAGTTTTTAATAGATGTTTTGTGCACCGTTATTGTCTCCCGTTGTGTTTATTTTTCATCCGGTGACAATGCTGAGCTTAAAGTGCGTCGCAAAGACGACAGACGCTAGAATAGGCGTCGTCATTGTCCTCGGCGCGGTGCACGTGGATGACCGACGAGACAACACGCAAGCTCGCTCGAGTACGCCCGGCTGTGCTAACTCACCTCCGGTGTGGAAAACAAGTCTCCGCGCGCTTGGAATTTCAACATTGCCGCGCGCTGCAGTGCATTGTGACCGTCCATCACGCGGATCATCTGTTACGCAGTCGGCGCAAATTGGTTGGCTGTCAAATTGGTTGCCACGAAGCTGTGGAAGAAGGGACATTCCGGATGCACGCTCCGATGCACGTCTACAAATTCAAATCATAATTGTAAGTACGGAAGTCATGTATCACGCGATACGCATTTAGTTTCTCATCTGTCTCTCTTTGTCCGAAAAAAATTATGGTTCTCTCAATATCAGTGGACGATTTAAAAAAAAAAACAAAAAACCAAGCGTTCTAACATTTAAAAAAATCAAAGAGTGAAAAAACTCTTTCATATACACACACACACATGTATTATAATATATAATACATATGTAATATTTTTCTCTAAGTTATTCGTGTTGCAAAAAACTAACTAGATTAAATCTTTTCATCCAATTATTATAACGCATAGTTCGAAATATTTTTTAGTCTCGATGTAAAGACATTCTGGACAAAGACACTCGGTTCTTACACGTGAATAAAAAACCGTTCGATTTTCGCGAGGCTTATAAATTAATCTGTGTATTACATTTGCAGTTATGCGAGAGTCGTGACTTTTAGCAAGAAAGTTTATCGCGCATAAACTTTTATATGTTGTTTTATCTGTTGTTTATTATTAATGTTGCTACAAAATCCATATTCCAAGGATTTCGTAGTTGGCGACGCTCTCTTTTCAAACATCTCGACATTACTTTTCACATTGTATTTAATTATCAACATATAATACATAAAAGAGATAAGCGATGATAAAGCGAAAAATTTGTGAGATTTTTTAATACAATTTTTGATAGCGAAAGATTATGGATTTTTCCAAGTCAGAGTTGAGTGTAAATAATGTAGGATTTTATTAAAAAATTTATTTGCCGACGTGTATTAATTAATTTGCGTCGGTATAATATAATCAGCGCTGAGAAATCTTTAATTCATTTGTGGTGTTATCGGCACAATGATAAGCAAAATGACAAACAGTGGATGAACTCGAGTAAAATTAGCACGCGTGCGGATTTATAAGATAGGATGTCGCACGTGCGACACTTGGTGTAATAATAGCTAATTGTTACAATTAACTTTTTGAAAATTACAAAAAAGAAAACGAGTCATCGCTTTTGTTGCGCGTCTAGTACGCGCGTTATCGCGTTAAACTAAATAACACTATCAGTAAGAGTAAGATATGTTCATGCGAAAGAGATAAGTGTGAATTACTTTTTAGATAAGGTTGCAAGAGACATATACATGTATGAATGATACGTCGATGTAATATATACTACTACTTATAATACATATTAATAGATGAGAGACGGAATACATATATTATAGATGAGAGACGTATAATACATATTAATAGATGAGAGACGGAATGTTTTGTGTTTCTCTTTTTCTTTCTTCAAACACCGTTTGTTGTACATTATAATACATCGACTTTGTAATGCACATTGTCTGTACTTTATCACGTGGCAAATGTGTTTTTGCGTTCTAGTTTAACGATGCAACGGGAACGAGTTAATCATTCGATCTAATTTTCATCGTTGGAACAATTCTCAGAGCGTTATTCGTAAAAAAAAAATTGCACGCGAAGCGAATAATCTTGTCGAGGTCGAAAAACTGTTACGAAGAACTTGATACTAATGTAAACAAACTCAAATAATAACAATCATAATTCCAGAAATGAACGTACTGAAGTGGAAACTACTATATCGCGTGATATACCGATGAAAGATGATCATCGATTCGTAGCATGAAATAGTAAACTACATACGTATTGATGAAAACAGAATCAGGCCAGTGCGTGTGTAAGCTTGATGGAAGCCACTTTGATGGCGCGTATCTATTCACGTACAATTTTGTCGCAACACATACACGTAGCCGACTTCTATATGTATGATTGCCAAAATCACAAAGTTGCATATCCGCTTCCGTTTCGCTGCAAAACGAGGAAACAATGTTTGTAATATTGCGAGTGAATCTCGAGCGAGAGAGATTTCGTCTTATCAGATTTCGCGCGCGATGCAAATATAATTGCGCGACTTCTGCGTATTTTCGACAAATTTATTACGAGGAAACTTTTGATTTTCACCTTGTTATTCCGAGAAAAAGTCACTCGATCAAAATCAACCGACTTGTTTCTTCTCAATTAGGTCCTTCCTAGAAGGAGATCTCGTATCAAGTCGAGTCGCGCTGTGTAAAAATCTCAATTTGATGATGCGATAATTTTTGCTTCTGCAAACGAAACCGAACACCTTGCCTGTAACAAAAAGAAACGAAACACGTTTCTCATCGCGTCGCGTCACAATCGCGCGTTCTATCTCTCGCGATATAGAATATATTTTATACAAAAGCACGAGAACATATTTAAGAGCGCGCGAAGTAATATTGTGTAGTTATACATGTAGTTATATAAATTCTAGAACTATACAACTTCGTTGGTGGTGTATAATGTCGATTTGCGCTAAATAATTAACAACCAAAGTTCTACATGGGAACCTGTGTATGCGAACGAAATCAATCTCCGCTCATTGCGGAACGTTGCACCGATCGGCGCGTCTTCTCCTCCGCGTCGGTACTCGCAAATATTGACAGATCACCACGGCCAAGTTCTCGTAGACGAGCAAACTGCTATAATATAGATTAGAAATCGATCGGCTTTGATGTAAGAAATTGCGGAATTCCTTTGTGAATTATACCGTCGCGCGCCGACGAGAAACGGGGGCTAGGCTCAAGGCGATGCGCGACTTCGTTATATAGACGCGTTTGTATGTCGTGGTATATGTAATCAGTATTTAATGTTCTCTTTACAAAGCCCGGTACTCTTGACTCGAAGAAACGAGAGCTCTCGAAAGTCTCTCTGAGGGCTTGTCCTCGGCGGAGGTCGATCCGCATGTAAATAAAGTATGAACCGTATGAACGGTGTGCGAAACATCACGTGTCTCGCGGTAAGAAGTAGGCTCGCGCGACAATGGGGATAGGGATATACCGATTTATCAAGGTAGACCGCGCGGATAGAAGGGTCTTTTACCCTTAATCGTCCATGTTCTTTCTTCGGTTCAAGGCCAGACATTAATAAAACAAAGAGTCTTCGAAAAAACTGTCCAATTTCAAAATTAGTATTAAACGGACATGTATGTGTGCCTTATTAACGATTTCCAATACCTGTGAGACATGTTGTCCTTGTAACTGGAAAGGTTTCATTAAACGGCCTTACGGTTTAATCTCCGTAATTCTCTTAAGCACGTAAACACGAATCAGCAAATTCTAAAGTTTAAAGTTTCAGCTGATATACACAAGTAAGCAAGTCGGATGAATATCACGAATTGATATCGGCACAGATATCAATTACAAAACTATATGTATTCGCAGATCCTAACGTACAAAGCATTGAGAGAATGTTAAATTCAACTTATAAGTTGTATTAATTGTACATGTCCTTAAATCATTATTAAAAATGTGAAAAATCATTTGTCAAAAAACCAACCGCGCAGTTGAAATAAAAGGGATTTACTTTTCTCGCGGGAGATATAATGAAATTAATGACTTTCAAAAATAGCGGGGCTCGTAGAGAGATCCCGACGCGGCGCTCGCACGCGAATATGTAATATGCGGCGCGCGTAGCGTCGCGCCTCACGCATACACGAGAGAACACGCACACGTCATCGGTACACATGCGGCCTCGGCGATGCTCGCTCGACGCGTGCACCAGTTCGTTGTACAACGCGCATCGACGAGACGATACCGACCGCACGACGGCGCCACGAGAAACGGCGTCGCGACGCTGTCGTCAGGCGGCGTCGATCGCGGAGAACATGTATGAGTAGTTACGGCGGGTAATTGGACGGGAAGGCAGCAGCGCCTTCGTCGCGTCGACGTCGTCGGTACGACAATCCGGTGCTCAGTCGCTGCGCGTATCGCTTCCGAACGTTCTTGCGGCTCCTCGAGACTCATTCAGGTCAGGACGAGTCCGAGTGCGAACGCGAGAACGCACACGCGCTCCTTTTGTGATTCTCGCTCCCACCTCGTTATCTCCTCCTCCGTTTTCTCGTTTCTCTTTCTGTCATTCATACGGTCCCGCGCGCTCTCTCCTCTTAATACTTTCCTCTTCGACACTCCTCCGTCGACGTCACCTTCTGTACGCAGCGGGCTACCACCCGGCTACACCCAACCTTTCGCGGGTTAGCCCCCGCTGTGCCGACAACGTGTAGCTCTGGTGTGAGAATACCTATAAGCGCCTTGTCTAGTCTAAAGAACCCGCGGCGACCTAGCCACTAGGGAAGTAGCCGGCGAGCGAGTGAGCGAGCGCGACCGTCTTGAGAGTACATGCGTGTGCACGCGATGCATCGATGCTCGATTGTGTGCGTAAGTGTGTGTCACCATAGTGCCGGTAGTGAATACGGCGCTGCCTTTTTCTTCTTATTGTTATCGTCGGTATACCGTTCCAACAAACCTGTCAGTGATTGACTATCATTTGCGAGAGATCACCCCTCGTATGGCATCGCTCGTCAACAATCGACAATCGTCGTCGGGAAGACAATACGGAGCCGGTAGCAATAGAAGAAGGTATGATCACACATTGTGACATTTATAGGTCGTGGGAAATGACGGGTCAATCCTGTCCGGTGACAATGAGTTTGCGCCAGTATAGATTTGCTGCATAGATTCGCTGTCAGTCCGCACGTCCTTATTACTTACAGTATAGTAAAATATTTGTAGTTGCGCGGATATATCCCTTCGCGGCAGTTTGTGTCTCCTCACGTGTGTGAGCTCGTACTCGGTGACTGGCATGTGCGCACAATCGACACTTGAATTCTGTGAGAAAAAAATGCGTTATATTGAAATAATTAATTCTTTTGATATGATTATGAGTACGGCAATTTGCACCCCTCAGTTGTCTTTCAATGAGTAATATTTTATTATTATATTATTATTATATTATATATATTATATTATATATTGTTATATTTTATTATATATCATATCTTTTTACTATTGATCTCTCTAAGAAATTGTTTTTTTTTTTTTTTGAGATTTTATTTTTTCATAAATGCAACTGTCGTGAAAGAGGTACACCATAAATTTATATATAATAAATACTTATGTAATAATAATTTATCAACACGTGTTTATATCGCTATAAGAATATTTTGTATTATTTTGTAAAGTAAAAAAAAAAAGAGAGAAACAGAGTCAACAAGCTAGTTATCGATACGACGGACAAACAAATTTATAAACGAAAGAGTCGGTTGCTTTCTGCTACACAAACACACACATGTATTTCTATAGTGGGAGGATGCTCGTAAAAGGCTTACACGCACGTGTATGTGCGCGCGTGCGCCAGTAACGCATTTTGAATCTTAACGAGAGAAGCATGCATTCCTCCCGAATGAACCTCGCTGCTTCAACGATGCTTCACAAAGGGAGATATGACGTTCCACGTGTTCGAGTAACGTGTACGTAAATATGCACACAAAAACTTACCTTTGAAGTGTAGAAAAATGTATTCATTCGCGTCCTTATAATTATGCGACGGGGATTGCGACTCGCGTGATCAAACGGGATCTCTTTAATCCTTTTTTTTTTTTTTTTTTTTTTTATCCTTTTTTTGCATTTTTATTCTCTTTGATTTCGCTTCCTCGCAGTTGCACGTGAAGTCACCGTCGATTATAGGATCTGTTGCATCAGCAGCCTTGCGATTTTGCGACTTATATGTTTTTTACTCAATGTTTCTTTTGTCACTTACGATAATTTTGCTGAAAACAGAATCGATAAATTGATCAAATTGATTATGATTTAACAGAGAGAGTAAACGTGTGTATAAAAACAAAATGTAAGAATTGTTTAATTCAATGATATGCGCGCGTGCCGCGCAAACCGACGCGCTTGATCGTCGTCTCCGGCTTCTAAACCACGATAAGCGCTAAAATGTCGAAAGCAAACGGTCTAGGCGCGACGACGTGATTTTCGCGTGCAGATGATGACGTACGTATATATATATATATATACGATAAACCGTAGTGGCGTAGAAATTGATCGGTTACGTTGTCGTGCGAGAGCCTTTAACCCTTTGCTTTCGGTTTAATTACCAGCACGCGACGAGCGAATTTGCAACCTATGGAAACCAAAAAAATCGGTTTTTTTATTTCAAACATCCAATCAGTCCGCAATCAAGCGCTGATGAGATCACTCGCTCCGGTCTTCTTCATCGCGAATCCGAGCATTAGTCAACAATTCGCGTGTAACGAAATATTCCTTCGTTTTTTTGCGTTATGTGTGACTTCGTTTATGGTGAGTCATTCCGCTGAACGATTTTGCTTATCCCCGACGCCACATCGTCTGCAACAATGCGTGCATTAAAACGTATGTGTTACACGAAAGAAACACGATCCCCAATTTGCAGGAAATGAAACGTACAAGGGATGTCACCTTGCGTGTCTCGAAACATCGAAAAACCCGACGGAGACAATTCAGTTTCAATTTTGAGATCACTGTAATTATTTGTTTTTTTTTTATACATAATTTTTCCGCAATTAAACAATTTACGTTCGACATTTGTTGGTAGGGCATATGTTCTTCTCGTGCATCAATAAATATGTACATGTTGATGCGTCACATTTGCGCGTTTTAATACACATGTTACGTGCAAGCTCCGCGTATACTGATGCATTAACACCTATAAACATGTGTAAATTCTTAGCTCAACGCTACAAACTTGCGAGAACAGTTAATAAATAGCATACCATTGTAACGAACACGGTAACCGCGTAGGAAGCGCGCGTTTGCGAATGTCGCGTGAAATTCGTTATGAGGATACCGTGCGATATTCGCGGTAAGACACAATGTTTTGCGGTTTCGTGTAAGTGCGAAGTTAACCCAGTTTATGGCCGCGCAACGAGTGATTTGAGATCTAGTCGTTTTCTCGGCACACACACACACACACACACACGCACACAAAATATTGTTTCCAAGAAAATTTCGTTATCTGTAATATTACATAATCACTCGGAACATACTACATAGAGATAGGGCAAAGAGATATCAGATAAAAATTATTTAACACTGCTCGAAAACCTCAATTTTTATACATACAACGCTATTCGCCCTCTTTTTTTGTGTGTTCGCCTTCTCTTTTTATTACAAATAATTTATTTTACAGCTGTTTTACTGCGTCTGACACGTCGAAAATGCGGAAAGACTGAAAGAAAAAAAAACAACCAGAGAAGATGAAGGATTTTAAATCTTTCGCGAACCGTTAGTTCGCGCTTTTTTGTCGCACGGACTGGAGCAAATAATCTTCTATGCAATCAGAAAAATAATTAAAAAAACACGTGATATATGATACCATCATTTTCAAATAATTCAGTATACAAACAAACGGTTGCCTTTATTTATATGCGTTCGAGCACGCGTGTAAACGCAATGTCAAAAAATAAGCGAAATCGTCGAGGTTCCGAAGACACAAGGAAAACATTGTTCGCTTGCTTCTAATCATCGAGTTAGAATTGTTTCGATTAACAAAACAAAATATGGAAGACATAAAAGTGCCGAACTTAGGACAGGCAGCGTCGGCCGCGTGTTCTATGGCGACTAATTTCTTGGCACCAGTAAAAACCGAGCGTCAGATCCTGGAAAACTCGATGCTCGAGGATGATCCTAATGCCAATTCGGTGGTACCGTCCTCCCAAGAAGACATGACTGTGCCCAGATGGGGCCCGAATCACAAAGGCGCTCAGGAACTCGCAAATTTGTACAGCACCGGTACGTAGATCTCTTTCCGATCATTCACAGAAAAAAACAAGTTGTATTTAAATTTAAAAAATTACATCAATTTTTAGTTTTAATGTGATTTTGGAAAAGTATTAAGAACATGCACGAGTTTTCATATATGAATAGTTAGTGGATATTAATAAAGTTAAATGCTATAATTGTGATAACGTCTTCTTATAGGAAAGAGAACACAAGAGTGCATCTGTGTGGGAATTTGTATCACTCTCATAGCCGTGAACTCTCTATTCGTGCTCATCAAATTACGACTGGAAAATTTGAGTTCCATAGCAATAGCTGCATTATGCGGCATCATCACGGCCGATTTCGGTTCCGGTTTGGTTCATTGGGCCGCGGATACGTGGGGATCTGTCGAACTACCGATTTTGGGAAAGGTAACAGTGCGCAATTACATTAGACAAAAATGCAAATCGCAAACTGTAATCCCTAATAATAATAATAATAATAATACCGTTTCTAATAATTCTGTCTTTTTTTTTAGAATTTTCTACGACCGTTTCGTGAGCATCACATAGATCCTACCAGTATAACGAGACACGATTTTATAGAGACTAACGGTGATAATTTTATGGTCGCAATACCAGTCCTGTCGAAGCTAACGTGGGACTTTCTGACGTTGCCCGAAGCAGAAATGCAACAGAAGTTTGTTTGGACATGTTACTGGTTCCTGTTGGCCATTTTCGTAGCAATGACTAATCAGGTAAATATTATCTTTATCAATTACGCAAATAATTCCGACTAGAATGTTTTTCTCTGATCTTAAATATAAACTAAATCTTAAATTATAACTCCCTAATTAATATCTAATTAAGGTAAACAATTATTAAAGTGTTTTAAAAACAAAAATAATATGTAAAATATGTTACGCACAGATACATAAGTGGTCACATACGTATTCCTTACTACCGGCCTGGGTGATTTGGCTCCAAGAGCACAGGGTCATTTTGCCGAGAAAGCATCATCGAGTACACCATGTCGCGCCTCACGAGACGTACTTTTGCATCACTACAGGATGGTTGAATTGGCCGTTAGAAAAGCTCCAGTTCTGGTATATTTTGGAGGTGATAATCGAGAGGACTACCGGTTGTAAGCCCAGAGCTGACGATCTGAAATGGGCGCAAAAACGTTCTTGAGAATTAATTATTGCTTTCCTTTCGCTGCTGTACATTTCACTGTACAATCAAGATATTTAACATACGCCAAAAAAAAAAAAAAAACGTCCGAATGAACATCGAAGAACAAAGTAGAAGTTAAGTTTGTATAGGCAATAGAGTAAAAGTGGGCTTGTATACGTTGAGTCTCAATCGAAAAGGTATCGAGAGAATATACATATATACAAATGATATGTATTTTGTACATACATATATTGTATATACAATACATATATTTGTGTACACTATACATGTTAAAATTTCTTTTTCAAACTAGTACTACGAGGCCTTTTGTGAAGACAGGTAGCAAGTTTAAAGTAGCACTACATCGACATGCTTTCGAAGTTTACACGTTTTTAATACGCGCAATAAAATACAAATATATATACATATATATTATAAATAAGAGATATAAAAGCATGTATTTTTAGGATCACGCTTACGAAAGTGCAATCTGACTCTGTCGACGTAGTCACGTCGACAGAGTCTTTATGTATCGCACAATCATCGCGCGCATCAAAATTGCACAAACTTACAAACTTTATTTTGACACACACAGAGAGAAAGAGAGAGGGAGAGAAAGAGAGAGCGATTCGTGAAAATCAAAACGTGATATTAAAAGCCAGATACAAGGCGTATTATAAGAGGCTAAAATATCTTATATTTTGGAAACACTAAATACATTTTTCTAATGTGATTAAACGAATAAGTAAAGATTAAAAAAATGATATATAATGTAAACTATATATAAAATGATTATATAATATACATGATAAATATTATATACGTATTTGTACATATATAATTTTTCTTTGCGTGTGTACATGTATGTGCGAACATACATGAACATATGTGAAACATATTGGAAATTATTTAATTGTAAATTGAATTTTTTTATGCGCAAAGCCGTCTGCCCAGAATGTTGTTCATTTTTAATAGAAAGAGCGCTATTTTTTTTTAAAAACGCAGCAGTTTTGTTTTTTTTTTCTTTTATCGAAGTGTGCTCCAGTTTCGTATTTTATCTTAAACGAAACTGAAAATTCCCTGAACCTCTTAAAATATTAATTGTGAGATTAATCAAAACTTTTTTATATGTACGGATAACTAATTAGAACCATGTCTATTCACACACGTACACACAAGTTAAAAAAAATTATTCTGATATATAGTTTCTAGTAGAATTGTTTTCAACTTTTCACATAAATTGATGAATTGTTCTGAAATTGGCAATCTGATTTTCGATCTCACACAGTTTCACATATGCAAGGATATTGATTTTTTTCTTACTGTCTTTTTTTTTAAAGAGCTAAGAACTGTACGATAATATGTTAGATGCTAATATTATTTATTTGTGTCGTGTGACAAAAAATTGTAACAACAAGTATATCGACTTTTCTGTCACAAATTTGTTTTTCACATAAGTCCCCGTAATATATGTTGTCTTTTATAAATAAGCGATATTTAACAAGATATCTTCTCCAATATTGTTTTTGTTATTAGCGCATAACTTTTTTTCGCATCTTATACAACTGTCTACATTTCTTGGCTCGAAACGTAAATAAACAGAGGACATATAACAAATCGTGAGGTGCTAAGTATAAAGTACAAGTTTCGTAGGTTCAGGGACCAAAGATAAGACTTATCTCTCAATACAATCCTTTGAATGCTTGATGTCTAATTTAGGTAAAGTGTGCTGGTGCAGTTAATTGTGTGTATGATATTTGACAAACTATTTACAATATAATTGTGCTCATCTACAAACGCTTTCTTTTCCATTAACTAATATTGTAATTTAACTGCATCGCATACACACAACATACTTTATGTATAGAACTTTATTATAATGTATATGTTCCTCACACACACGCGCAAGTCAGTAATAATGTCCTTTAAACGAAGTAATATTTATAAGAAGTCGCAGTTACTGTAATTATTGTAATCATTGTTATTGTTGTTGTTATTGTTATAAGAGACAAAGTATTAAATTTTAAACAGACTCAGTCAAAATAAGAAAACCCAAAGTCTCGAAGCCAGAGAGTCAAAGCTTCTTTTATATTCTCATTTAAAAGATGAAAAGAATTATTTATTACGTTATATATTGCTATGAAATGTTAAAGATTTAAAAAAGAGAAAGTTTATTTATTTATTTATATTTATAGGCTTGAGTTTGAAATAGAAACGCATCATAGATTTTTACACGGAGATTTTCATTTTTCTTTCTTGAATCTCATCACGCGCGGCTTTTTTTAAGATAATTAAAATAATTTTCAAACGTTTTTTTTTCGAGTTAAATTTTACTGAAAAAAAAGAAAATATTTAAAAAATGCTATTTTACGTGCAACATGTAACAAACATGATAACATGTAACACACGAGGAAACAATGTTGCAAAAATATATAAATTCCATCAAATAAAAATAGCGAACACAAATATGAGGAGTTCACTAAAACCTGTGTACAGAATGTTGCTAATCAAATAAAGTAAAAAACTTTCCCACACAAATAGAAACGTAGAACTACTTATAAAATATTATTTATAAAATAAAAAAATGATAATAGGGAAGATTTGATAAAGATATGTATTGTGAATTAGCATTAGCATTTACATTCCAGAACTTATGTTTGGAAGAAAATGTTTGGGAGGGAGGAATCACGAGATTGTTTAGCAACATTGCTGAAACAACTTGTTGACACGTATGACGTGTGATTACTATAGGCTGTTGCATTTGAAACAATAACGACGAAACGCTACAGCGCTGTAAATACTACAACGAATAAAACAACTGCTTGCTTGTTCCGACCGGCGTAATTCGCATGCACACGTACATTGTGATCGATGTTTAGAATAAAATTCGCGATTTCAAACAATCAGATCCAATACAGATCTGATGTAAAAGCAAGCAACACAAATAAAATGTTTTAATCCGTTCGTATATTCTGGCCTTATAAATACTGCGCTTGAGCATAGCTCGTGTAACAATAAAAAAAAACGAAAAGTAATTAGCGTCGGATGTAAGTGCGAGAAATTTATGCAGTCGTAAACAATAATGTCAATAATTGTGGTAACGCTTAGCAGGAGATCAGATCGTAAAAATACATGTGATCTTACACAAATAAAAACTCTCAATAAGTAAAAAACGACAGTAAGTAAAAAACTGTCGTAAGAAAAAAAACAAAGAGATAGATAAATAAATGCAAATTTATATGTGTATTCTGAATATTTTATATATATCCGAGATATTTATATGTTATATCGCGTGCGACATAGGCATATATGTAGAGAATAATATTGAACAAATGCCAAGAAAAATAATGTATTGCGCTATTTTCATATAATCATAACTATGCTACTCATGTAACGATAATTGTATCATACCGCAGCCTTGATCTTTCTTGCTACACTTTGGCAATCATTATCATTACTTTAATCTATAAACTTTAATTAATTTGTCTTTAAAATTACATATAAAAGTTTTCTATCTTAACTGCAGCAACTGAATATTGTTGTGATCTCACAGAAGGTTTCACTTACATAGGCTTAACGTTTTTTGTTTGTTTTTCTTCCTATAATTTGAGTCACTCTACTTAAGTCTCAGCACAAATTACACGAATAATAAAACATATTCTACGAAAATTGATAATCGATTAATCTGCTGTTGCCGAAAGTACAAAGAGAACAAAAGACAAGTCGTTGCTTCTAAGCCTGCATACTTATTATATATATTTAACATGTAATATCTTTTGTGCATATACGCTATCAAATTTTATACATCTGCATATATATTTTTATGATGTAAATTGGGCCTTTCGAATATACTATTACAGAATTGTATATTTCTTTTCATATATATATATATATATATATATAATATTTTTTCTTAACAATATGCATAAAATTGTTATTAAGAAAGTATAAACTCACAAAAAATGCAAATGTATAGCAGATTATATATTATTGTCACAAATGGTTTTGTTATGTATGAAGTGTGTCCTTAATAATTGATACATAAAAAGTCACAAAATTATGTAAATAGAAATAAACAAAAACAAAAATACTACATATGAAACAAATGCATGTTGAAAAGAATGGACTGAAAAGCCAGATACTAATTAAATGAATAAATTGAAAGAGAACCGTATTAATTTTTATGCAATTATTTTCGAAAGTAATGGTTAAAACAACCTGTGTTAGAACAAAGTATGTGTAATCACGAAATTAAACGAATTAACTTTAATCTGAGATGCATTTTGTAAATAATTAATTTCGCACATAATTGCTTGAAAAAATTAAAAAAAAACAACAAAATACTGACTGTATTATATACATATATAAATTTTTTACGGTAATTAAATATAAAAATAATAAATTAATATTCACAGCTCATAATAACGATGATAATCGTGTTAGCATTGCAATTCATCGAAACGCCTTTGACACTAATCGATACAATAAGGAAAATGACCTACAAAGCAAGAAAATTTATATAATGCTGTTATACAAACTAATATATATAAATAAAAATTTTATTCTCTACCTAAAGCCGCTACACATTCTATATATAAAGTATATATATTTATATTTATGTTCCATCGCTTGTTGATATAAGCGATAAAAAAAAGAGACAATGATTTTTGAGCTCAATAAATAGCATCGTGTATAGAGTTTGTGATGTCACACAGATTTTTATATACAAGCCTATATATATAATTTGTATCACAAATTAGAATGAATATATGTGTATATGCATTTCTCATTTTTTTTTTTTTTAATAAGACTATTATACAATATGTATCATGTACGCGTGCGAGAGAGTTGCTAAAAGAATGAGTGAGATATATGTATATTTGAATAAAAAGCATAAAATGTTTTTCTGTGCACATCTTTCATTTCGTGCACTCCTTCTGCAAAGTGTTTTATGGTTTTTTGCCAATGCGGCTTCGATTGCATGCGATTCTATATATTTTTTTCTCTTATATGCAACAAGAAATAAACAGTTTTTTTTTATAAACATTCTTGAATAAGTGCAAAGCAGAAAATATGTGCGCGCTTACCCGTCAGTTAGTTCAAACCGTAACTTTCCAATCTAATGTATCAAAGATGTCTCTGATCTCGTCATACAGTGAAACCAACGTAAATAGTAAATGAAGAGACAAGACTGAGAGAGCGGCCACAGCCTCACTTTAAGAATTACCGCTGTTCGCCAGCGCTACGACCACGATGGTGCACACTGGCAACTACGTAGCCATGTCTACGAGCAGCTTGTCGGTAAGTATGCCATGTATAGAATTCTTTTCCGTGCTATACCGATGTGGTTCTGTTACGCGCTGAATGCACAGTAGGAAAATAAAAAGCTTGTTAAAATTTTTTATCAAACAACGCAAATAAATAATATTAGCATCTAACATATTATTGCACAGTTCTAAGCTTTTAGAAAACACAATCAGTTGTTTTTTAAAAGAAATTAATATAAGAATATATGTATTTTACTCTATTGCCTGTACAAACTTAACTTCTACTTTGTTGTTTGATGTTTATTTGGACGTTTTTTTTTTTTTTTTTGGCGTATGTTAAATATCTCGATTGTACAGTAAAATGTAAAGCAGCGAGAGAAGAGCAATAATTAATTCTCAATAACGTTTTTGCGCCCATTTCGGATCGTCAGCTCTGGGCTTACAACCGGTAGTCCTCTCGATTATCACCTCCAAAATATACCAGAACAGAAGCTTTTCTAACGGCCAATTCAACCATCCTGTAGTGATGCAAAAGCATGTCTCGTAAGGCGCGACATGGTGTAAAATCTAAAAAAAAATAAGCAAATCTACAGTTTACTTTAGTGAAAAGATGGAACCACCACATCCTTTCACCACCGTAAGCGAAAACGAAAATCGCACGTAAAAAAAATATTGCACGTCGGTGTGCATCGCAAATGCAAAAAAATTTTAAAAAAAATAAAACTTCGGTGACTTAAACTAATGTCAAGACAATAATAATTGCGACTTTTTCCTGTCTTGACATAATAAAAATTCGATTATCTAAAATTATATGCCTTCTGTGCTGATCAAGCTGCTTGTTCTTCCTCGACACTTTATGTACGTACATAGCACGGAATAGAACCATGTCCACGTTTGAACCTAAACGTACGTATCGACAAGTCGTTCGTGAACGTGGCTACGTAGTTGCCAATGTGCACCACCATGTGGACATGGCGCTGGCTACAATAAATCTCTAGATACTTATGTATCGTTACTGTTGGCACACGTGTGTCAGTTTAATGCTTATGGTGTGTGTGTGTGTGAGATATGACCATATGATCACAGCTGTGAACTGTGACAGTCGCGTCATATATGTATAAACATGGCGGAATCCACGAATAATTCGGAGGATGACCGACTCTCGTGTAAAATCTTAATTATCGGCGCCGGTATGGCGGGATTGTCAGCGGCAACTCATCTACTGAAGAATAACGAGACTGATATTCTTATTGTCGAAGCTCGTGAACGTATAGGCGGACGGATTGTTGCTGCACAAGTCGGTACGATAAACATAACCTGTTTTTGTAGTAACAGAAGTGTTTTAACTCACTTCAAAATTTATTTACCTTGTATATCATAAATATATCCTAACAATCATACGTGATAATGACAAATTGTAGTTACAATAACAATGTAGTGGAATATTTTTAATGTCACACTTATTTTGTTTTCTTGTACGTATAAATTGAAGGGTGTGTTGAGATAAACCTGAATATTTAATTTTTTAATAAAATTTTCTATGAAAAAATGTATATAAAAAAAACTGGATTTATGAAGCAAATAGAATGAAACTAATTTGCGTAATGAGAGATTTCATAAGCTAATATAGAATTATTACAAAATTAGATATATTTCTTTGTAATTTACATTTGTTTTTAAATTGTCATACTGTGGGAAAAAAAGTTTGTCACAGAGACAATGCAGAGTAAGAAAATTTTCATATCCCATGAATTAAAAAGACATTTTGTCAACTGTGAAGAATTTAATATACAATACATGTAATAAAAAACAAGATTACTTTAACTTTTTATTTTGTTTGTCAATCTTAGGTACCGAAAGAGTTGAACTAGGAGCAAATTGGATCCATGGTGTGTTAGGTAATCCCATGTTTGAATTGGCAATGGCACATGGATTAATAGACATTGTGCATGTTCCAAAATCTCATAAAGTGGTAGCAGCACTGGAAGACGGAAAGCAATTGCCATTTCCTGTTTTGCGAGAAATTTATGAGGCTTATGTGTGCTTTCTAAGACGATGCGAAGAATATTTCTTGAGCACATATAGTCCTCCTGATGGTATAAGCAGTGTAGGAGCGCACATTGCATTGGAAGCAGAGATATATCTGTCTTCTTTACCTCCCGAACAACGAAGAGTTAGGCAACTTATCTTTGATTGTCTACTCAAAAGAGAGACTTGCGTCACAGGCTGTGACAGTATGGATGAGGTAGATCTCATGGAAATGGGTTCGTACGACGAGCTTCAGGGTGGGAATATTAGTCTTCCAAACGGGTACAGTGCTATATTGGAACCTGTTTCAAAACACATACCAAAAAATTGTATTCTTACCAAACATGTAGTAACAAAGATTAGGTGAGTTTTCTGTCATGTGTTATATAATCAGTAAAAATTAATAACAGATGAGGTTACAGTAGAAAATTATTTTTTTGTTTGTTTTTGTTTTTGCACAGATGGCAAAAACAAAAGCATCCCATAGATGATAACAATTCTACTGACAATGCTAATTCGAAATCGGATAGCCTTATAGAAGTGCAATGTGAAAATGGAAAAACTATTACTACCGAGCATGTAATATGTACGTTACCGTTGGGCGTTTTAAAAAGGACAGCTCAGGACTTGTTCGAACCGTCGTTACCTGCTTACAAACTCGATGCGATAAATAGACTGATGTTCGGTACCGTGGATAAAATATTTCTCGAATACGAGCGGCCTTTTCTCAATCCCGGTGTGTCGGAAGTGATGCTACTCTGGGACGACGACCGATTATCCGAGACGGAGAAGCGGGATATAAGTAAAACCTGGTTCAGAAAGATATACTCATTTATCAAGATTTCGGAAACACTGTTACTCGGTTGGATATCCGGTCGCGCAGCTGAATATATGGAGCAACTGAGCACCACCGAGGTGGCGGAAGTGTGCACAACTATTCTGCGACGATTTCTCAACGATCCCTTCGTGCCGACCCCAAAGAACTGCTTGCGCACAAGTTGGCACTCGCAGCCATACACGCGAGGCTCTTACACCGCGATAGCCGTCGGAGCGAGTCAGTTGGACATCAAGAGCTTAGCCGAACCGTTGGTCCAGGAAATAACGAACGACAAGATGGATGAGACGATTAAAGTTCAAGTGGCGTTCGCTGGCGAACACACTCATTCCTCTTTTTACAGCACAGTGCACGGAGCGTATCTGAGCGGTCGAACGGCGGCTGAGTTGCTTTTGGGCGTTAAACAAAGCGAGAAGCACGCGTTGAGTCTTAGTTGTGAGGATACTAGCGATCTTAGCTCGTGGATACAAGGCATTTCCTTAAATTAATATACGCCTTTTTTTCCGAAAGAAAGTCGCGCGAACGACTTTCAAAGTTCACGGACGTTCATAGATGTATTTAGAAGCTACATACGCGTTTAAGTTCGAGCCGATCACTTTCTTTTTGTAAATATCTCATAGTATCGAATATATATCTGGTTGTCTCTCGACACACACGTCATGTACATATAACGATGCTTTTTAAAATTTTAAGACTTCGCGATTGTGCGCGCGCGCGCGTGTAGGTAATATACTAAATTTGACCGAAGTCGAGAACAAGCCTAACTCAGTATTTTTTTCTTAACTGTATGACGTTTTTTAGTAGTGAGATTTATATAAGATCGACAAGCATATTTTCCATCTTCTTAATCTTATCGTGCACATTTGTTTGTATATAAATTACTTTGCTTGCTTGACTTCTTTATTGTCAGCTGATTCACATCGTACGTGTATCGTTAAGTAAAGAAAGTTCCATCGCGAGATACATGGAATTTATTGAATTAATCTAGTCATATTTGAAATATAAAAAACTTAAAACACAAATTTGATAAATAACAAGAAATTTCTTGTGACCAAACTCGCACTAAGCAGTTCAGTTTTGTATTTTACGTTTTGACACAAACATGTGCCATAGAAAAATCAGACGTTAACCCTTAAAATACTAGATAAAACAATTTGTTTATCTTTTAAAATGTGTATCCAAGCTAATCTCAAATGTGTAATTTACACAGTTTGTGAAAACGAAAATAATATCACATTAAGTAAATATCGCATGTTTTAAGAAAATATAAATGTGTAGAATATGTAATTTATTATATACAATAAAAAGAAAATATGCTTTTTTTGTAAAAAAAATTTTATAAACCTCTAATATATTTTATATTAGGAAAATATCTTGGTATTTTAAGGGTTTATAACATTTCAAATATATTCGAAAAAATTTGAAAACGATGCAACACATTGGACTTTTGTCATTAAACTTAATAGTTTTTGTTTTATCTTATATATAATTGTTTTAAATATCTGAACGACATTAAAAACTTATACTGTTTATATATATATTTTAAAATATATTTAAAATTAATAAAAATATAATTAATCAATTTATTAGAATCTGCCAGTGGCCATAAACTTGGACTCTCTCTCTCTTTGCATAATTTTATAAATCTCAATCAACTTATTCTCAATCTCTTTCTACTCTTTCTCTATTTTTTTTAAATTAAGGATATTTCTGTCTCTCTCTTTCCCTGTACTTAATTTTATTTATTAATATGTTTTTTTCTGCTTTAAGTATTTTTATTCACTAAACTTGTTTCATTAGGGGCTCTTATTTTCGATTTTTTTCGCGACATCTAGAATGGTTTCAAGTGCTAAAAAAATAATCTGTGAAAAACTTCAATCCGATCGGAAAGAGGAAAAGGAACCAATCGATTTTATTTGATTATCTTTCAACTTATTGATTATATCACGTTGAACAACACGTTGAAAAACACGTTGAACAAAAGTTGTAAATCTGGATCAGAAGTACATTTTTACCATCTATTACTTTTTTCCATTTTTTTCCGAAAATTATTAGTTGCCCCAGGGGCTTCTTTTCCCCTTATCCAGTCGGACTGAACTTTCTCACAGATTATTTGTTCGCAATTGAAAATTGCAACTTCTTTTTATCCCATTCTCTTTCTTTCTGACCTTTTTAGTCCCCTTCATAAAAATAAATATAACACATTTCCAATTAATCGACCTATCTTTGTTTTTCCCTCAAATCTAATAGCCATCCCTTCACGTGATTCGTTACCATACTATAAATTACAAAGAAGCGGATATATACTTTATAATTCTAAAAGAAACAAAAATACAGTTTATATTATAAATATATCTTTTATTCAACAATTGGTAACAACTTGATTATTTGAAATGAAAAAATATCTCTCTTAATTACTCAAATATCAAAAATATCAAAAATTAACAAGCATTGCAGGTACAAAATCATCCTTTCCCAATTTTTTTTTCTCTGATGTTTGTCCTGGGAACATCAGAAGAGCATTAGCATCTCTACAACTGAGTAGCTTGCTACTGATTTGATTTCCTGTGATCTGCGCCACTGGGACTAGATGGTCATCCCAATTCAAAATTGCTCTTGCATATTCAGGACGCGGATCCAAATTATACGGCGCGTTCAACTATAGATGTTGAAATAACATTAAGACAAAACGCAAATATTTGAAATATATATATATATATATATATATATATATGTATATATACGCGATCTTACATACCTTTGCACGTACTATGATATCTTTTGTGTGATTAAAACTCATCTCGTTCAGGAGAGGTAAAAGAAACAATTGTGCGGTAACGATAGCAGAAACCGGATTTCCTGGCAAACACATGAAATATTTTTTTCTATCTTTCCATGTGACTGTTGCAAATGTTGTTGGTTTTCCTGGTTTCATATTTACGCGACCTAAAAATTCGATATTGAAAAAAAAATGCCACACTTTATATATTTTACTTTTAATAACTTATAATAACAAAATAATTACCAAACAGTATAGTAGCTTCCATATCTGTCAAAATTTGCTTTAACATATCTTTATCACCCATTGATACGGAACCTGTTGTAACAATTACATCCACCTTGTTTAGAGCATTACTGATTGTTTCCAATAATTTTCCATAACTGTAAAGTAAAAAAATATATATTATTTATATTATTAATAATTGTTACAAACAAAATAATACACTCTGTGTGTGCGCGTGTGTGTATGTGTGTAATATAAATTATAATAAATTCTATACTCACTCATCTTCTACAATTCCAAGATCGACCGGTTCAAAACCTTTTTTTTTCAATAGGCTGATCAAAGTTATTCTATTGCTATCGTAAATATGTCCTACTTCTAAAGACTGTTCATAAGTTTGTAACTCGTTTCCAGTAGACATTACACCAACACGTGGAAGTTTGCTGACTTTAACTTTGGCAATCCCACATGCCGCTAGAAGTCCCATCTCTACTGGACCAATATGTGTGAATTTGTTCAAAATTAAACTTCCTTTCATTATATCGGAACCAACAGGTCTTTAACATCATATAAATATATAAATAAACAGTTCACAAGTTCAATAAAACTTTCCATCAATAAATAAATCAATATCGAATTTTATACCTGATATCTTGTCCAAGAGTTGGTACACTCATTATCTCGATTTCTATCTCTTCTGTATTATCGGGGCTCTTTTTTATTAATTTTGTGTCTTCAACTTGCACAACCGCTGTCGCGTCTAAGTCGAAACAGTATTATAATAGCAAAGTGTTCAACATAAATAGAAATGCGTAAAAAAAAAGAAATAAATTATGCATAAATTTACCTTGAGGAACGGGTGCTCCTGTATTTACACGTACACAAGTGCCAGATGCAAGATTATACGTAAGAAAAGACTAAAACGGTTTCTTTTGTTAACTTCAAATTCAAGTCATCGTTGTATGTATAATCGCAACTTACTGTACTTCCTGCGTTTGAAGCACCTATTACTTTTCTGAGGCCTTTTCCATCAGAATGCAATACTGCGTATCCATCTTTTATTGAAGCTCTAAATGGAGGCAAATCGTAATCGCTATATATATCTTCAATTATTATTCTGTCCAGAGCGTCGTTCAGATTCACGATTTCAAACTCACTCTCCGATGTCTTTGCACTGTCGCGTATTATTTTCACAGCTTTTTCTACAGAAATCATAGAAAACGGGGATTCTCGTAACCGTGTTGCTACACACATATTTTTCTCTATCTAGAATAAATTAACCGTTTATACACTATCATATAGTCATCATGTTTTCATTGTTCTCACTTAAAAAAAAAAAATACTTACCGATCTTTTGCAATGATCCAAGGAAAAATGCGATTCAGCATGCAAGTCTTTTGTCACAGAAGACTCTCGCTGCATAACAGCATGTGCAGCTTGAATTTTAGTTTTATCATCCAAGATTAGACTTACGGCGTGTGGTATTATACATTCAATTATATGCATGCATTCTATTGCAGCTTTATGTGAGCCAGGTAAGTTGATGATCAATGTGCGATTGCGTACTCCACTCACAGCTCTGAAAGCAAATTATTTAATTACTTAAATTATTTTCTTGTGCTTTAACAAAATCAAAAAAATAAATATAACGTAATAATTACCGAGAGAGCATAGCCATTGGTGTTATTTTTAAGCTTGCTTCAAGTATGGCTGTAGATATTCCAGGAACTTCTTTATGCAAAATTTTTCTAGTTGCCTCTGGTGTAACATCTCTTACTCCCAAACCAGTGCCTCCAGTTGTAAAAATTACATCAGCTTTATCTTTATCACACCATTCAGTTAAATGTTTCTATATTATACATTTAATACATAAATAAAATTAATTATCTGTGTGCATTATGTGTATTTGTGTAGAGAACAAGTATTTAATATAATTACCGCTATCACATCTTGATCATCTTCTACAATTGCAGTACAAGATACTATTCCATCAAACATGTGTCTTTTTTGTTCAATATATGTTTTTAACGCAGGACCACTTTTATCTTGTGTCTTATCTTTTGTACAAGTATCACTTACTAAAACAATATAAATAATAATATAAATAATAATATAAATAAAAAACTATAATTAACTTTTTATCGGCAAAAAATATATTATATAACCAATATAAAAAAATATATATACATGATAATATGATAATATACCAAGATTAAATATAAGACATTTATATATATATATATTATTTTATCACACATTTCACACATTAAGTTTTGCAAGACTTGATTATTAAAATATTACAAGTACAAATTTTTCTGTTGAGATTGTTATTACTTATATATATTTAAATTTTCTTAATAACCAATTCTTATTTTTGTTTTAATTTTAACTAAAGCCAGTGGCACACAATGCTTTTGTGATTGGTGGATTGCTTGCGAGCGCAAGATCGATCAATTGTCATTTGAAAATCAAAGAATAATTGTCAAATCACCGTGATGTTGCATTTAGCACAACATAAGGCATCATGTGCCGCTGGTTTAAGTATAAGCAAGGATATTAATGTATCTGATACATGAAGTTATATCTTTTATTGTTAAACTTTATTGAGGCATTATTAATACAAGTTTCATACGTGAAGATACTCTTGTTTTGTTAAAACATTTCTATATAACTCTTATCGAAATATTTATATATTACATAGGTATTAATTATATTACATTTAATAAAAGAAAATATATTGCTAACTATATATTAAAGAATATACAAGATTCTGAGTTCTCTTGTGTTTTCTTGGTTAGCGAAAAAGAACTTGTGTAAGTAGAGTGTGTATATCATATTAATCTTATCTTACGTGTGCAAAACCACTCTTCTTTGGTTGTGTGTGAACAAAATAAATTTTTTAGTTCAGTTTTTCCAAAACATACCGTAACTATATTTGTTTACATACGTATACGTTGTTAAAGTACATACCAGTTAAAATTCCAAATCTTATTGCAATCGGCATCATTTTTCTTCGCTGACGTTTGCAATCCTCGAGTGTAGTCTCTCCTAAAATGATATACAACACGTAGCTTCTATGACTTGTTTAATTATCGCAACTCGATAACAAAGTGATAACTTGATAAGTTACGTAAAAAATTATAGTAAGATTTCAGTAATTTCGGAACCCACGTGACTGGTTTTTGGAATTTGAAATTTTCTCTTCCTTTTAATTAACAATCAATTGAGAGACAAAAGATATCACTGCTCAAAGAGAGAAGGTATGTTCTTGTGAGCGCATACGGGAAGAAAAAAAAAAATGAATCACAATTCATTGTAGACGGCTTAAGAGCCGTCAACAATGGAGAGTTGTAGGCCGTAACAGTAAGAAATTGACAAATCACAATCGATTATTCTTCTGTACTTTGTCTGTGATTGGTCAATTTCTTACTATTACGGCCTACAACTCTTAAGAGCCGTCTACAATGGAGAGTTGTAGGCCGTAATAGTAAGAAATTGACCGATCACAGACAAAGTACAGAAGAATAATCGATTGTGATTTGTCAATTTCTTACTATTACGGCCTACAACTCTCCATTGTAGACGGCTCTTTAAGAATAATCGATTGTGAATCATAGATCACTAGCAATAACAGAGCAGGCAGCGCTGTCAGCGGCCGGCCTAGCTATCCAAAAGCGGAGCCAAAAGACAAAAATCAGAAGACGTCCGGCTCGTGAAATAGTTAGGCCCATTCTACAATAAGATATTAGTTTAGTCGTAAGCTGTAAGTCGTAAGAAATGAACCAATCACAATCGATTATTCTTCTGTAATTTGTCTGTGATTGGTTCATTTCTTACGACATACAGCTTACGACTAAACTAATATCTTATTGTAGAATGAGCCTTAAACGTTCTTCCTAGCGGCCTTGTGGCAGTATTCTCTTAATTTGTACAGTGCTCGAATGTAAAAGACAGTGCTTAGTTACAAAAGTTATAAAGTCATTGATCAGTTTATTTGTAAGTTGGTGATTGGTAACTTTAAATGAAAGATTTTTTTTTGTGATTTACTCATATTTCTCTTTATTTCGTTCCTCACCGTAACGTCCCTTTTCGCTTTGCTCAAGGGTTACTCTTACAGTAGCCAATTGTTAGCTTTGGGTGCGTTCAGACAACTCAACAGTTGCACAACGGTTGAGAGATAATCACTTCTGATTGGATCATACTTTTGGAACCGCAGCAGATTTTGAAGAATAGTCCTATCATAAGTGATGATCTCTTAACCGTTGAGTTGTCTGAATGCACCCTTTAACACTGGGTGCGTTCAGACAACTCAACAGTTGCACAACGGTTGAGAGATAATCACTTCTGATTGGATCATACTTTTGGAACCGCCGCAGATTTTGAAGAATAGTCCTATCATAAGTGATGATATCTCAACCGTTGAGTTGTCTGAACGCACCCACTGTGGAGTAGAGGGGCTCTTGATAGAAGAGACGAGCAAAACGTGACGAGGTTTCATTCGCTACAGATATCTTCTTGCTTTGAACTTAGTAGTGTAGGTGATAAACACGTGTTGTATGAGTTGCGCAGTCACTCAAGAATATTGGAAAAATCATCAATACTGGGGAGAATTATTGCCGCTCAGAAAGAATTAGAAGTCACATTCTCGAAATTACTGGAGTCCTGCATCAATCGTCCTGAGACATGCAATATCTACATAGAGAAATAAGAAAAGGAAAGCTTTTTTCTCTCATATTTTGAATCTTGAGGTGAATTCTTTGATTTACATTTGAATATATTTATTGAAGTATATTATTTCAAATCCGGGAGCGGAAGTTCTAACAAATAAGATAACAGTGTGATTACAAATAAATTTACATTTAGTATCTTTTCACACAAAATTCTTTTTAGAATGCGGAATAAAAAATCGCCCGATAAAGAAATTCAAGTCGATTTAGAAGATCTCGAAACACGATTTACGAAACTGAGAACAGTAGACTTAGATAAATCCAAAGTAATGGAAAATCAAAACCCTTTGTTAAGACACTGCACAGAGAGAGAGAGAGAGAGAGAGAGAGATAACATAGTTGGATCATCACGGCAGACGTTCAAGTCGCGGGAGAATAGGTTATTCGAGGACAGAGTAAAGCCGTACTGGTGGACACGTGAGATAGAGGAGCTCCGAAGAAAATATATCAAGCAGAGGCGGATATATACAAGAGCAAGAAGGAGGACAAAAAATACAAAGGAGGAAGAAATAGCTGAAATCAAGGAGAACTTAAATGTTGCCAAAAGAACGCTTAAAACTGCTATTAAAAAGTCCAAAGAAGAAATCGCAGACCGACTATTTCGCACCGATTTGACGAAAGAAATATTAAGAAAGCACTACGAGGGCGAAGCGGAAACCTGCTTAGAGCAATGTCCCATTGAGCGGAGATCTATAGCGGAACGGAATGTGCCGGACCGGCTCGATCAATCGTAACCACAGAAAAAGCGAAGGAAAGAAAACGGAATGGCTATGGCCACGTTCAGCAGACTGAGCAGATCAGTGATCGCTTAGTCATTCTTTAATATGATTGAATCTTGCCTTTAGATCTTCGCTGGATCTAAGTGTAGAAACCAATCATATTGAAGAATCACTAAGCGCTCACTGATCTGTCAGCTCTCAGTCTGCTGAACATGGTCTATGATTGGTCGAGCTGATTCCGCACATTCCGTTTCGCTATAGATTTGCGCTCAATGGGACATCGCCCTTAGAGAACTTTCTACGGAACAGTGTGACCGGAATATCAGATAAAAAATTTTGCCAAATATATCACCACGAAAGTGCGAGCTGTAAACCAGCATAGCATACAGACGCAGAGATGCCAGTTGCGGACGCTAGCAACATGCAACAGCAAGTGGAGGGGATACGCACACAGGCGAACAGCCGTGTACGTGTGCGCTCGACGCTTCGGCCAGCTTCGAGCAGTAGAGAGAGACGGACATATATAACCGCTCTCTTTCTTTCGCTATAGCTATAGCTATAGCTATAGCTAACTGCCAGCCGCGAGAAGCGTGCCTAGTTGCTAGCCCGTTTCTTATGCCGTTTCTTCTCTCTTTCTCTTTCTCTTACTCTCTCATACTTACATGGGCTGCGTTTCGATCTTCACTGCCGATACTGCAAATCTACAGCACATGTGACGTAAAGTATAGATTTGTAGTACTGGCAGTGGATATCGAAACACAGGCTAAATAAATCTGAAAATGCGTAATATTATGTGTCAAGAGAAGTAATAACAATAAAGTAGAATTTAATGTATTATACAAAATAGAATTTAATATATTATACAAAATAATCAATACATCAAATGTATTGAAAATCAAAACTGATCAAATAATAAACAAAAAGCAAGAACAATAATTTTTTATATAACAAATATTATATATACAGACATAATAAATAATAATAAATTTCTTTCTTTTAACTATGTTATACTACTAACTACCGTGATTATTAAGAGTATGAAAGAAACACAAAACCCATAAAATGTAATTATTTTTGTATCATTTATTTAAACTTATTATAACAAAACATTGATTTTTTATGAAGCAC